AGTACATGTGGTCATTACTGTATCCTATATGGAATTTTTAAAAGCAAAAAAAAAGCCTTAATTTTATTTTAAGCAATTTAAGAAAAGCGACTTTAATTATAATGATAAGCTTATAATGAAAATGTTTAAAAAATTTGTTTAAAAGTAAAAATAAAAAAACAACGCATTTATATTTTCAAGTAAAAATTGTTTTTTTTTTAGTGGGATTTATTCTGTTATTTAATCAATAATATTTAAGCATGAGGTCTATAGCTTGGGTTGTCTTTGCCGGTGACGTATGTCAAAGGCATGTCTCAGGTCCATCGGTAGCATCGTCGTCGCTCCAGGGGCACAGCTTATAGTAAAACCCGAACTTGAGTATTTGAGCTCCTTTTCCTCCAGATCCTCCAAAATAACCATGAGGTTTTCCACGATTTTCAAATGCTTATCGAAAATCATCTCTTCGAATTGCTATACCATTTACCATATACCGTCTATACCATTTATCTCTTTCTAACTCCCAAATGTATTTATGTTTTAACCTGTTTTCTTATGTTTTATGTACATAAATATCTAGTTGTCTCTTTTCTCTTATGTATAAGAGAGGCAATCCCTTGAATTCTTAATTTATTCTTTACATACAAATTGGAAAAGGGGAGTGCTATATCTAGTCATCTCTTTTCTTTATATATAAGATGTGAAATTCCATGCTCCTTTAGCATCTAAAGGGTGTTTCTGTGAAAAATTTAGTCACATAACTTTTAGGTAAAAATATCCAAAGCGGCTCATTGTCCTTATCACTTAAATAAAGGACTTACCTTTGTTCCAAATGATGTTTTTTTAAGTTTACATCCATTGGTCTTGTACGTAAATCCTGTACATAGATCTTCAACCTTGGTGTATCCAATCGGTGGTTTTATCTCGTTAAGTGTCACGCTGTTAGAAACATTAGTAATATTAAAAGTCGTGTAACCAAAGAGCCATTGAATTTGTTCTACTTAGACATTGAGCCCAACAATAAGAACTTAGACATATACAAAGGTAAACTCATTGGTAACGCAGTTGTTAATATAGAACCACCCCGTAAAACCAAAGAAATCGATCAGTGTTATCGTTGCCAGGAATTTGGACACACAAAGTCATATTGTGCCAAAACTCACAGATGTGTGAAATGCTCTCTTAACCATCCCAGCAACGTTTGCCCAAAAGATAAAGAGCAACCAGAAAAATGTGCCAACTGCAACGAAGATCATGCTGCTGGTCTATCAGGATCTTATATAAAAAAAATTAGTAAGCGGACGCAACCACCAGAGAAACACCAAAGATGACAATAATAAAAATGACCATGGTACATATCAATCATTTGCTCCGTTTAATAATTCGACCCAACAACCCAAAGATTACCAATCATACGCTCAAGTTGCTGCAGGAAATAGTACCTCGAACAAGTCTCTAGAAAGAATAGAACAGCTTCTAGAAAAACAATCTCAACTTACCAATAAATTACTTAACATGATAATGTTACTTGTTAATAAGTTATGCAAATAAATCTAAACTTAGGGATATGGAATGACAATGGGCTTTCCAACCATGTAAATGAAATAGCTTTATTTTTAAAAACGAATGCCATTGACGTCATGCTTGTTTCAGAAACACACTTCACTAGCAAATCTTTTTTTAAAGTTACTGGATACGACACAGTAAGAGCTGACCATCCATCAGATAGAGATCATGGAGGTGTTGCAATTCTTGATAAAATGTATGCACGCAGATGTATCAATAACAGCGATTTATCTCCCACCAAGATTCACAATAAAATAACTCGATTTTAAAAACTTTTTCCAAGGACTGGGAACAAAGTTTATCGTGGGAGGCGACTTCAATGCCAAACATCCATGGTTGGGATCCAGATTAACTAACCCGAAGGGATCGGAGTTATACAAATGCATACGAAACAATAACATAACTACTTTGTCAACTGGTGTGCCCACAGATAGTCGAAAAATTACAGATTTAATTGATTTCATAGTATTCTCTGGAATCCCACAATCACACATGCGAGTAATGGAGAGCTTTGACCTTAACTCAGATCATTCTCCAATAATAGCAACTTACAGCACAATAGCCCATATGTTGGAAAAGCCCTATAAAGTAATAACAGCCTCTACAGACATTAACGCATTTAAAAGCCATTTAGACTCAGCTATAAGCCTGGACATTTCGTTAAAAACAGGAGAGGAGATAGACTATGCTGTGGAGCTTTTCACAAATACATTTCATAATGCGAGCTACAGAAACACGAATCATGGTTTTAATCATCAACAACCAAACCAATTGAACCTTTCAACCGAACTTCGACAAAAAATACAAAATAAAAGGAATCTGCGAAAACGCTGGCAAGAAACTCACTACCCTGCTGACAAAAGATTGTACAATAAGGCTGCATCTGAGCTTAGACAACTGCTGTCGAACTTACGCAATGAATCTCTGGCTGCGTATCTGAGAAACTTAGACCCTAATTCCAGCAACAATGAATACAACCTATGGAGGGCGACTAAATACCTAAAGAAACCAGCTAAAAGAAAAATAAATATTCGCAAAAACAACGGAACTTGGTGTAGGTCTAATAATGAAAAAGCGGAAGCATTTGCACAACATCTGCACTCTGTGTTTCAGCCAAACGATAATTAATATACATAAATAATTATACAACAGAGACTGAAGTAGAAAAATTCCTTGAGTCACCCTGCCAAATGAGCTTGCCCATTAAAAGCATTAAATATGAAGAAGTTGTGACAGAAATCAAATGCTTGACCAGGCCCTGATAAAATAGACGGTATCACCCTAAAAAGTTTACCACCAAAATGCATTCGGTTTCTCACTCTTATATATAACGCGATTCTCAGACTAGACCACTTTCCAAGTCAATGGAAATGTGCAGAGATCGTTATGATCCTAAAACCAAACAAAATAGAAACGGAATTGACATCATACCGTCCCATTAGTCTGTTGACAATTTTCTCGAAAGTGTTTGAAAAAATACTATTGAAGAGAATGTTGCCAATTTTGGACGAACTTTCCATCATTCCTGAATACCAATTCGGATTCAGGAGGGGTCACGGGACCCCTGAGCAATGCCACAGGGCTATTAATGATATAGTTTCGGCATTTGAAAACAAAAAATACTGCACTGCTGCATTTCTTGATATTCAACAAGCGTTCGATCGAGTCTGGCACAAAGGTTTGTTGTACAAGATAAAGAAATGGCTACCTGCTCCGTACTATTTATTAATCAAATCATATCTTGCTAGAAGATGCTTTTACGTGCAGCAGAAAACCGATAGTTCATCACTACTTCTTATCAACTCAGGCGTCCCACAAGGAAGCGTATTGGGAATAATTCTCTACACCCTATATACGGCCGACATGCCAGTTACAAACAACTGCACTGTTGCAACATATGCTGATGATACTGCCGTTTTAGCCACAAGCACATCTATAAATGAAGCTTCTGAACTCCTGCAGAGTGAGCTAAGCCTAATTGAAGACTGGTTCCTTCGATGGAAAATTAGAATAAACTCCCTGAAATCCGTCCAAATAACGTTTTCATTAAGGCCAGGTAACTGCCCAAATGTTACACTTAACGGCTCACCAATTCCACAAAGTACCTGTGTGAAGTATCTCGGCTTGCATCTCGACCGCAGATTAACATGGAAAAACCACATTAAAGCAAAATGTCAACAACTTAGACTTAAAACACTAAAAATGACCTGGCTGATAAGTCGAAAATCAGAAACCACTTTGGAAAACAAAATTCGCCTCTACAAATCCATACTGAAGCCTGTTTGGACCTACGCTATACAGCTTTGGGGAACTGCTAGCAACTCAAATATTGAGATACTTTAGCGTTACCAATCAAAAACTTTGCGACACATTGTCAATGCTCCGTTTTACGTATCTAATGCAAACATCCACAAAGATATGAATATTCCAACCATTAAAGAAGAAATAAAGAAAACTAGTAAGAAATACATCGACAGACGCCACAACCACGAAAATAATTTAGCCTTAAGTCTATTAGACAATAGCCTAACAGTAAGAAGACTGAAAAGATACCACATTCTCGATATCCCTGATAGATAAATCCAACAAACTAAAAAGATGTTATATATAATAGCAGGGCTCATTGGAAAACTGCTATTTCTGTTAATTGAATATTAATTATACAATTTACTTATTGTATAAAAACAGATTGTAAAAAAAAATGTAATATTTGTTTTATTTATTTGTTATATCCAATACCAACGATGTAATCACGCGCTATCAAGTTGGAGATATGTGAACTGCAATGAAGCAATTTGGCGTATATTTGCATTCCCTATTCACGAACGTAATCCCACTGTTTTAAATTTGGGGTGCATCTAGAGAACGGTCAGAGAGTATATTTCACAGCGTCGAATGCTGCTCAACGTGCCGAAACACCTCCAGCGACAACACTGACAAGTTTCTTTGCGATTTGTCAAAGCGATCCGTTCGCACGAACATTGCTTTACTTAGAAATGCCACGTTATTACACTTGGAACGCTACATCGAAGAAATTTCAACGTCGGAAGCAAGGCGATGCAGTTCCTGGTCATCCAGATATGCGTTCTACTGATGCTCTTGGTCGTATTTACACAGTTTATCCGAAGAATGATGAATGTTTCTATTTGCGGTTGTTGCTGGTACATGTTCGAGGGCCAACATCATTTGAATCACTACGAACTTTAATGGTATCGTGTGCCCCACATTTCGTGCAGCATGTCAAGAGCTAAATTTGCTTGAAAACGATTCTCATTGGGACACGACAATCGCTGAAGCAATTATTTCTGCATCTCCAAGTCAGATACGCACATTATTTGCTATCATCATTTCAACATGCTTGCCATCAAACCCACGTGACCTGTGGAACAAATACAAAGATAACATGTCCGAAGATATTTTACATCGAATTCGCGTCAGCTCAAGAAATTACGATCTTGAGGTGAATGAGGAGATCCATAACCAGACTTTGCTCTTGATCGAAGATATGTAATACCTCATGTGCGGCAGTTTGTTACTTAGGTTAGGAATTCCAGCGCCAGATCGCGGAATGAATGACGCATTTAATAGACAATTGGAACGTGAACATGAATATGATCCACATGAACTAATCCAATCAGTTCAAACGAATGTACCTCTGTTGAATCCTAAGCAGAGGGAAGTCTATGATACACTGATTAATGCAATTGATGATGGAAATGGCGGCTAATTTTTTTTTGGATGCCCCCGGTGGAACTGGGAAGACATTCCTCATGTCATTGATTTTGGCCACTGTACGTGCGAGATCCGAAATTGCGGTAGCAATTGCTTCTTCTGGAATAGCGGCCACATTGTTAGACGGATGCCGTACGACTCACTTTGCGTTGAAATTGCCATTAAACCTTCAAACTACTGAACAACCGACATGTAACATTTCGAAAAACCAAAGCTTTAGTAGCATCAAAAATCATCATATGGGACGAATGCACATTGCACTAGACCGAACATTAAAAGATATGCGCAATGACTCGAGATGTTTTGCAATGTGGTGCAATGATTTTATTATCTGGCGATTTCCGACAAACACTACCAGTCATTCCAAGATCTACTGCTGCAGACGAAATAAACGCTTGCCTCAAAGCATCAAATCTGTGGCGATATGTAAAGAAACTTCAACTGTCTGTAAATATGATTGCATTGTTGAACGATCTATTTGCTGATGATTTCTCGAAGCAATTGCTGACTATCGGTAATGGCCGTGTTCCTGTTGACAAATCGAGCGGTTTGATTTCATTTCCTCCAAATTTTTGCAATTTCGTATCATCAAAAGACGAGCTTATCAACAACGTATTCCCGGAAATCGTTGATAACCACAA